TGAGACGCCGTAACATTGTGCGACTCCCTTAGATTTGCCATTCCTCTTGAATATGTGGATCATTTTTGATGATTTTTGTTTATCTTAGAGCGAAATTAGAAGCTCTTCCATAATCTCAATTTTTCGCTGAAGAATTGGGGCTGAATCGTGGTGAATTGCAGATTCAAATTGCGTAGTCACTGTTCATCTTCATACTTCGCAGGTACAATTTCATCTGGGTTTTTACAAAATTGAAGGCCAATTCTTGGGTATTTTGAGCGACTTGCTAGGCCTAATCACCTTCTAAAGTTTGTTGATCAATCCAAACAAAGATTCGTGGCTTTTGGATGAAATTGTAATTTCGAGACACTGTTCACAGTGTGAATCTACCAGCGATGCAATAGTAACTTACACGGCTCTCTGGTTTCTACACTTTTCATTGAAAGATGCAATCACAACTTTGCTCAACTTATTCAGCCTTCTCCCTCGGTTTCTGCTTTGTCTGGCAGGTATTCTTTTGGCCTTTGATATAATTTACATAATCCATGATCTGTAAATTATTATAACTTCAATTCCTTGAAAAATCCTCCAATTTTGGTTAGAGTTTTATAGTCTGATGACATTGGTTCGGGTAATGCTCATAAGATAAAATTTAACCGATTTGAATCTTTATGGAGGGTATCTGCATAGAGGTTCTTTGAAATCAAACTGGGGAAAAATGACTTGGATACATTTTAGGTACATCGATTCTGAAGGTGTTGAGTTTTATGTGATTTTTAGGTAATTTAGATGGCCTTGCTCGACAAGAAGATTCTTACAGAAACGTGTCAAGGTTTACAAGAGTCCTGCTGAATGACAGATATGTCTCTCCGAAGGTTTGCCTCATTTGATTCTTCTTGAACTTCTGAACCATCTTAAGGACAAAGACAGAGATATGGGTCTGATTCTCATCTTATCCAATGAAGGTATTTCTGATGAGGTGAACAGCTCTTTAGTTAAATTTACGTCTGCATCCTCTCAATTCCATCATTTTTATGGAATACACTTAGTAGTAGGTGTATCCTCACTGCAAATTGACTCAACTAATGGTATATCTTTTAGAGTACAAAGTATTTTTCTTCTTATTTTAGTCATTGCTCCTCTCTTATTTCTCAAACTACAGGACCAAACAAGTCCTCCCAATCTATATAAGAGTCATTGCGAGCACCTACTTCAACCTTTCCGGTAAGGTTTCAAATTTTGACCTGAGCTAATCTTTCTGAAAGTATCTTAGAGGACGTTTTTTAATACAAATTCTAAGAAGACCCATGATTTTGTTTTTTTGTGTTGAACATGGTGAGAGAAGGAGATCTTTTCACGCTCTTTGGGTGTAGGTTTTATCCGACTTACCACTCTTAATGTGGTCTTTGGTCCTATTAAGGTAAAATAATTTGTTTGTGTATTTTAATGATAACCATGTGTTTGGACTCTATAAGGACATTTGTTTGCTTTTGTCCGTGCACTAATTTATTGACTATACTAAACTAAAAAAGACCTGTGTTATATACTTCGAAGGTGGAGGGTTCAATTTTTGATATTAGTTTGAGGGAGCATTAAATGGCGGGTGGTATTCACATCCCTCACAGTGACAAAAGGTTTGCTGGATTCAGCAAGGATTCAAAGCAACTATAACCTGAGGGTGAGTGGCTATACTATTGTTTACTGTTATTTTTTCACAACCATGATTCGTGTTTTTATTTTTAAAGCTTTTTTTTTCTAATTATCCAATCTCCAATCTCAAGTAGGATGCCAGGTCAGCTTATCTTTGTAGACTTCGTGAACATGAAGTTGGGTTTTGCTATTCCATCTTTTTCACATGCCCACCCCCTTTTCTCCAAATTTTATCACTACCCTGACCATTCTTCTCCTTCACCTGGCTTGGCAACTTGAGACGGCAATAGACACTGCTGCTGTAGTTCCATATAGTAGGAAGAGGTGACAACAACCTTCGGCCCCCTTGCAGAAAAAGAAGAAAATATATTCTGATTCTTTAAATACAAATCAATATATTATCTGCTCTTTTCAAAGATGAACGATGAAGCTACTCTATCGAGCATTGGAATCTTGCCGCATCCACCTCTTGGTAATGCCACAAGCTCTATTTTTACCCCATTAATTCATAAACCTATATGTAAGTCTTTTTCATTTTCATTTTCACTTACTATTATTGTTTTAAAAAATATGCATATTGTAAATAATTGATTTTAATATGTTATCATTTAGCTTTTGTTTACATCATAGCAGATTTGCAAATTTTGAAGTTTTTTTCATGAATTTATTAAAGTTAAAAGTAGAACATTTAAAGTGTTTGAGAAAATGCCTAAATGAGTATTTTCCCTTTTATTGATTTTTTTAGATTTGTAACTTTAATTTAAGTTACATATAGTACTTGCCTAAAGATGAACTTATTAATTCATTTGTTTGATAGTTTTTTTTATTAAGACCTTATAAACACCACATTGTTCAAGTATTGATTTTATTATAAGAGTTTTATAAAATTATATGTCCTGTTTGTGGATAATCATATTTTGTGTCAACATTAAATTTTTAAATAATGAGTTAACCTTTTGTTCTTACTTTTAATTTTTCATAGCTTAGAGTAGAAAACTGATTGTTCATCACTTAAAGTAAAATATACGAAGTACAACTATTAATCATATTTTATTCTAATATAAAGGCCTAGAAAATTGATTCATCGTCACTTATTATTATTTTTTTGTTATTACTATTATTATTATTATTATTATTATTATTATTATTATTATTATTATCCAAATCCGTGATAGGATTATGTGCCCCTTGATATCACTAAGCCACTATTTTTTAGAAGCATATATATATATATATATATATATATATATATATATAGATCGATGTTTATTGTATTGATATTCTTATAAGATTTTATTATCTTAAAAAGAGTTCACATATGGTGTTATTTCCCCTACGAATCACACAGAGCACTGCACTCTAAAGATCTTTGAAGGAAATAGTCAAATTGTTAAATTGGTGTTCTGTTTTTTACATTTGTAGTGGTGATATGAAGTTTGAAACATACAAATTAATTGGCCTAAAATTATAATGGTGATGAGATCCACACATTATAGTTGGAAGGCAGTAAAGGCGGGAAATGAGGCACATCTAAATGATGCACTCGAGGAAATAGAGAAGGTAAGTGTTTTAGTTGTCGCTTCTTTTAATGGCCATAAGCCGCCCGTGAGAATGCCATTTTTTAACTTCAGGGCTGTTAACATCAAGTTTGCCATTTTGTTTGGTGCTCATCTCACACTACTTATTGTTTTTGCTCACTATATATGGTGCAGGTTAGCATTAATAATTTTATATTTACCCCAAAAAAGTGAGCACTTTAGAAGGAGAATAGCTTAGTCTATTTTTGTTGTGCTTACTTTTTTTTCCCGTGTATTCTCCTTCTGTAAGATTGCATCTTTACTTGATCGGGCATAATACGATTCAATTTCCACCAGTTGTTTATGCCACTGGTGAAGCGGTTAGTATTTATATTCCTTGGTTGTATAACAATTTCCTGACTAATTGCATTCCACTTGGTTGTTCAGTCAACAAGAAGTAACATAATGGTTCTTTGAAGCTATATTTTCATGTTTGTATACCCTCCGTAAAGATGCACCCTTCCTTTGTAATCCAAGTGTTTATACATGATCACTTCATGCTGTCATCTTCCCCGTGTAATTTGTTACTACATAAAGCACTTGCTGGTTTACTACAGAAAGTATTTGTAATTTAATGAAAAAATTGTTTAGTGATGGCCATGTTTCTTTCCAGGTTCTTGGCAGGCTAGCAGCTCGGATAACAACCGCGGTTCAACTTTCAAGGCTAGCATCCTACATCAAAACTATTCGGGGAGTGTTGTTCGCTGATAATCACCCACCACCTTAGAGGTATGCTATCTGTATTGCTCTTTATGCTGATTCATGAGGTATGATGTAACTAAACCACATTTAGGGATGGAACCAGTGCTACACGAATATGAGTATTGTATAAGTGAATAACAATAAAAAGAACAACCTCAAAGTCTAGATGGCAATTTCTCATAACCATAATAAAGACACTTCATGGGATTAGAATCAATATTAAAAATAAAAACTTTTAAGTCTTTCAAACTTTACTACATTCATATAAGAGTACTAATCTATACGGAGAAGCGAATAAACTAATTTTAATATGTGATCTCAATTCTTTGAGTCCCTACCACAGTTTGTTATATAGTTGTTCATCTATTGGGGTGCTATGCTACGTTTCACCAGCCTAGCTTTTTAAAGTGAAACGAACTTCCCCTGTTTAGTTGGTATTAGTTCCTTGCGTATTCCTTAACACCCAAACTAGAATATCCAGCTGATCAGTATGACATGTGACAAAGTTTAAATTCGATAGTCTCAAAGCTCCTATATACACATTTGAAGTTTGAACACACGTCTTAAAAATGAAAAAATTCACTAAGCCTAGAATTGTAATACTATTAGGCCTAGGATTATCATTAATTGGAATAATTTGTTTATTTATATTTATTACTCCCTCCGTCCTAAAATTAATTTCCCAGTTCAGTCAAACTTTTTAAACTTTGACCGTAAATTAAGGAAAAAATACATTGAATTTTTATATAAATTTATTAGCAATAGATTTATTTTGAAATATAGTTTTAAAATATATAATTTTTATAAAATATATTTATATAAAAATTAAGATATTTATAGTCAAAGTGTCGTATTGGAGACCGTGAAAAGTCAAATGAGAAATTAATTTTAGGACGGAGGGAGTATTTTTAATACTGCTCTAAAAAGGGATATGAAGATCTCTTAGACTCTGGTATATATAAAAAAGAAAAAAAACTGCAGTGGTAGGTTTTATATGGTTCCTCTAGCAAAAGTTATTTGATGTAGAGTCAGCTTTGTTCAAAGTTTAAAAGATTTTGGTGGCTAAATGATATGAGTTGTATAATTAGGCAGGGAATACAACCCAGTGTGCGTGTTTGAAGCCAGTTGTAATAAGTCTATTTTAGTCTCAACTTAAGGTATGTATTTTGACTAAATGTATACTTTGACCACACCATGTAGGTTTTTAGTCCAGATAATGCGGCTATTTTAGTCTCAACTTAGGTATATATTTTGCCTAAATGCATACTTTGACAATATAAACACTGCACCATCTAATGTTTGTTTCCATTGTCTGAGCATCAGAGCTAACCTATAGTACAAGGACGGCTTTCATCACTGCTTACATGCGTCTGTGGTGCACTGCTTCTGTGATATTAGATGATTATGTAAAAATAGGTTGGCTCAGTGCATCTTTGGAAGTCCTCACTTTGTTTATGTTGTCATCAGTGCTGATTTTTCTATCAAACACGGTCACATGGCCATGACTAACAAAATGCATACTTATTATCCCTGCTTTTACTCCTCCCGACATATATAGCAGAAATTTCCCCTAGATATTGTCACATTATAAAGGCATCTACAAAAGAGATGTAGCGAGAATGACTGGATCCTAAATCAACCCCGTCGCAGCACATCAGCACCATATACCAAGGTATGGGCTACCAATCATTTGTTTTTATAACTTATTTTCATATTTACATACAATGGCTAAGTTTTGTTCTACATGTTAATATTCGATATATTCATTGTTCAATTCTTTGAGTGTCTAATATCTTGAGATGATGATGGATCTCTTCAAAGTTTTGTAAATTTTCTAAAGATCAATTTAAACACTGCATAGAAAAATCATATGTTCCCTGTCAAAGATATATAAAACTGGTTGAATGAAGTTCATTATTTTCGCTGAGTAGGCTAAGAAGAAAAAGGGCAGTCTGCCGCTGCCTTAGCTTGAATGCCACATAGAGGAGAAAATGGGGGTATTTTAAGTTTGTACCTATTAAGATACTAATGTGTTTGTAATGATCTAAGTTCTTATGTATTGAGCAGCTTATTGCAACACTGTTTTTTCCTCTACTGCACCAGTATCAACAGTATGAGAGAGTGGTTTAAAATGGAGTATAGTTAATTACAGCACATTAAATATATATTCATTATTTTGTTTAAGTTAGTTGTACATTATGTATTTGAGATAAGTAGCACTTTCCAACTGAAATTATAAAATTACTTTTGTGGCCATTTTAGTTATATTAAAAGTTGATTACTACTCATTTATGATATGATTTTTTTAATGCCATTTTAACCAACTTCATCTTCTTTTCTACTACTTTCATCCCTGAATATTTGTTCAGTTTTGACTTTTTCCGATTAACTCTTTTCAATCTTTGATCTGTAATTAAATAAAATATATATGAAGTTCGTTATTCTTTTTAATGTTTTTATTGCATTTGGATTGATACAATATTTCTTTCAGTTACCTCTTAATAGATTATTACAGAGTAGTATATTGCTTTGAGTTAGCTTCTGATTATACTACTACTCTGCCATGATGATATTGCAGTGAGCTTAAATTACCATTTCCTGTGTGGCTGTGTGTGGGTTTTTTATGCTGGTATGTGGCTACACAATAGAGCTAATGACAATACCTAATTCAATGCAGCCTTGAGACTATTTTATTCTTGGATTTGTGGCTACACATTACAGTTAGCCAATTTTGTCTTTCTTACTTGCCTATTCCTATCAGCAACTTATTGGCTACTATACGTACTACTTTGCGTAGAGTTTTAGATTGCATCTTAGTCCACATTAGATATTGTTTATGATGGCAGTTTTGGCAATAGCTTGAAAGGATAACATTTACAAGATGCTGCAGATTTTCCCTCTTATTCTTTATTGAAGGAGATGAAGTGTTTATTTGGTGCTGAGCTTTTCCTTCATATTCTTTATCTGGTGGTAATACTCGAGACTCCTGATGCAAGAAAACTTGACTTCATTTTTAACATTTCGTGTTCGGTAGGTTGGTTAGCCTGCACTACAACTGGTTTGGGATGTTGATACTCTTATACTGTTTTTAAGGTTTTCAATCTTTACTTTTGCTTCTTTCTCCTTTGAGGGGATTTGTTGAGGATCTCCATCCTTTTGAACTATGTACTATTTTTTCTTTTTATTAAAACTCTCCTTACTTACATACACACCTTAAGATATAGCGAAAAATGTATACTTAAAATTTATGAATCATATATTCATTTAAAAAAACTTTGAATTTATAGATATATTTTACGTGAGATTATACGAGCCCGTGCGAAGCACGGGGTAAAAAACTAGTATTATAGTAAAGGAAAGGATTTAGGGTGATTTGTTCAATGTTTATTAAATACAGAGTATTTTTTTACATGATATTTTTTTAAACAATTTTAAATAATCTAAAATGTTACTTTCAAATTTATAAAATTATATTTATAGTTTTGTAGCATTATATTATCATCATATAAAATTTAAAATATATTTCCATAATAAATGTATTTTATTTCAAAAATGGAAGAATTTGAGAAAACACCAAGTTAGAAATTACACTACCATTTTGAGAAGGTATTATAAGGTTTAACATCGTTTTAACGACCGTTAAACAAAGAGATTGAACTCAGCATTATCATTAATTACCAAATACACTTTCGAGAATTAGTTAATTTTGAAAACTAATTTAAAAAAACACATAATTATTAAATACCATTTTCAGAATTACTCAATTTTTCCCTACGTCCTTACCCCTCCGTAGTAACAAAAACATCGGGAAGTCTTCTTTTTTTTTTTTTTCACATAACATCGGGAAGTCTTTTCGCCCAAATTCACACCTATAGTACGAAAACATTGGAAAGAATTCTCTCACGTGTTAAAATTTTAGCACCGTTGGAGTTGGTTGTAATGCTTTTTTTCAGCACTTCACTGATAGGGAAAACACTTGAGAACTACTCCAATAATATAATGATATGAGTATAAGACTAGGACATGGTGTTTCGGAGGGTGTGTAAAGTGGTCAATCACACAGGTTCCCTAAAATTTTAGGTTTCATATTTTTAAATTTATCATTAATTTTGAAGCAACTTAATTTTATGCTAACTTATAAATTCAAAAATAACTTATAAGGAATTTTGATCAACTTATAAGCACAAAAAATACTCACTATATTTCTTTACTTCAAAATATTTGATGTACTAAAAATTTAACCTTTATTTACAAATATAAGTTGTGAAATTTGCACTATATAGGACTAAAACATAAGTCATTTTTCAATGTAGGACTTAAACTTTTTTATTCCTTAAATAGTACTCCCTCCGTTTGGAAAAAGTGTTCCTATTTTGACTTTGTGTAAAAATAAGGAAGTATTAAATTGTAATTGACTTCCAATTTTGCCCTTGATGTGATAGGTAAAAGTAAGATGTGATGGATAGATTATTAGAGATAAAATATGATGTGAGAGGTAAGGTATGAAAAAGTAAGGGTAAAAGTGGTTTTTTAATAGAAAGTGGAAGTGTTTTGTTGGAAGTAAAAAAAATGAAAGAGGAAGTGTTTTAAAAAACGGAGGGAGTACTTAATAATGTCTAGTGACAAGAATAATATCCAGTGATGATGGATATTTACTTGAATAATAACTAATAGATAATGACTAATGGTCGTACAATGGGAAATAAAAACATATGGTCTTATATTGAGAAAGTCATTATGTTTTAGTCATTTTTAGGTAAATTTCTTATATAACTTATGTTGTACAAGTGAGCATGTTTTTTTAGGATTCGGAGCTATCTCACATTAAAATTTTGATTCAAATAGTTCAGTCTAAATAACAAGATATTGTTAATGCTGCAATTAATTGATCATATAATTGGCAATTGTGAGTTTGATAAAGAACATGAGATTGCAACCTATAGTGCATGAAATGAACTACAATTATCCGGTCAAATTTGAATATTAACAACAGCCAGTGTCAAACTCTATAGCATGATTGTCTAATATTTAAAAATCAATATTTAGTTAATGTCTATTTTATATTTCTATTTTACGCATGACAAATCGAAAAAAACTGAAGATCATAACTTGGAGCGAAGAAAACAATCTTTTTGATCATTCATGCCTGCAATGTTATATGTAAAAAAATTCAGAATTAATAATTTTATTTCTATTTCAAACTAAATGCATGATGGCCAGATTCTTATCCATTGACACTTTAGTCTGAAAGGTCAGGAGGATGTCCAGAACCTATTATATAGCTGTGATTACACTAAGGCAATCTACTGCGAGCTCTTGCCATGGTGTAACTATAACTTTGATGGCCAAAATCTTGAAGACTTGATGAGGGGATGTTTGAAGATACATCCAGTGAAGAAAAGAAGGAGAATTATCTCCATTCTTGCAGCCACTGCCTATGCGATTTGGAAGGCCCGAAATAAAAAATAATAATAATTAAGGGAAACATAAAACATAGGAGGAGGTATTCTAGGAAATAGTATATCAAGTGGGTGTCTATTTGGAAGGGAAGAAAGCTTGGGTGTTTTATCTGTGTTATTCGCAGCTCCATATTTTTTTGTTTTAGGAGAAAGTATGGGTGTTTACTGTTTTTTGTAAGGTGTGGTGACTTATGGTGAAGAAATATATTTGCTTTCGATTCAAAAAAAATCATGCAATATTGATCGGTGCAAAAAAAAATCATGCAAATTCACACACATGCATTGGCTTACCATATTATCTCTACACATAAGTTATTTATATATTTCATTATTTTTATCTTCAGATGATTTTATGTCGTGTACCATTTGGATCAGAATTCAGTTCAATCAAATTTGTAACAAAATATGTTCTAGCTTATTGGTGAGCACCTTGACATAGTACCAAAGAGATTTGGAGTTTGGATCTTATTCATGCTTTCTTCAATTTACTCTTAATACTCCATCCGTTCCACAAAACCCTTCCGGTTTTGACTTTGGAGAAAAATAAGGAAAGTGTAATTTTGATTGACTTTCCAATTTTACCCCTGATGTGATGGGAAAAAAGTAAGATGTGATAGTTTGGTTATTAGTGAAAAAGTATGATGTGATAGGTAGGGTATGAAAAAGTAGGGGTAAAAGTGGTTTTTAAATAGAAAGTGGAAGTGTTTTGTGGAAAGCAAAAAAAACGATGAAAGAGGAAGGATTTTGTGGAACGGAGGGAGTATTTATTACTTTTTCTGATTAGAATCAGTTTAGACTAAATTAGATCAAGAACATTTTTAAATATAACTATATATTCAAAACCAATCAGATTAAGTGAAAGAATTAATTCAGAGAAAATTCTCTCTTCTATTTCTTGTCTTCAATTTACAAAGTAGACATGTATATATAAGCTCTCACAGGTTGAGAAACCTAATCACAAAAGGAAACGAAATCAACCCTATACAAGGAAACTACCAAAAATATATACCAAAATATATACAATATTCTCTTTCCTTTAACACCCCCCCTCAAGTTGGAGCATGTAATAACGAAATGCCCAACTTGAGAAGAAGAAACTCCAAACGAGACTTTCTGAGTGCCTTCGTATGAATATCTGCAAGCTGATGCGTAGTAGGCACATGAAGTGTACGAATCTCTCCTCGTAAGAGCTCATCACGAACGAAGTGACAATCAATCTCAATGTGCTTCGTGCGTTCGTGAAAAACTAGATTAGCAGCAATGTGAAGTGCCGCCGTGCTGTCACACCGGACCATCATGGGGTTCTTATGCTCAACCCCTAAAGAGCGCAATATATTCTTCAACCACTTCAACTCATAAGTAAGGACAGCCAAAGCTCTATACTCTGCTTCAGCAGACAAACGAGCCACCGTCGACTGCTTCTTTGTTTTCCATGAGACAGGCGAGTCTCCAAGCTGCACAAACCATCCTGTCAATGACCGCCTCGTCAAAGGACATGCTGCCCAATCCGAATCACACCATCCTGTGAGCTGAAGGCTACTGTCTGCAGAGAGGAAAATGCCTTGTCCAGGACATCCCTTTAGATAACGAACAACTCCAAGAGCCGCAGACCACCGATCCTCCCTTGGTTCCTTCAAAAATTGTGCTAAAGTGTGGACTGCGTAGGAAAGTTCGGGTCGTGTAACCGAGAGATAAACCAATCGTCCTACCAACCGTCAATATGGTTTTGGATCTGCAAGAACTGGAGCCTGAGAACGAGCCAAATGATGATTTGGCTCCATCGGTGCACCCAACGGCCTGGCACCTAATAAACCTGCCTCAGTAATAATGTCCAAGGCGTACTTTCGTTGGAAAATCCCAGATGTACTACGTGCTACCTCGATGCCAAGAAAGAACTTCAAAACCCCCAAATCCTTCATATGAAAACAATTTGCTAAATAAGCCTTGAACTTGCTTATCAATTCTGCGTTGTCTTCGGCAATAATCAAATCATCAACATAAACCAAAACATGAATTACTCCTTTCTCCCCAACAAACGAAAACAAAGAGTAATCAGAGATAGACTGGACAAATCCATAACGCTTCAAAGCTCCAGACAACTTTGCAAACCAACATCTAGGAGCTTGTTTGATTTCTTGAGTTTGCACACCACATTAGAAGAACTTGAGAATCCTGGTGGCAATCTCATGTATACCTCATCCTGTAGATCGCCATGTAAGAAAGCATTATGGACATCCATCTGATGCAGCTCCCATCCCTTGACTGCTGCGATAGCTAAAAGCGTCTGTACTGTGGTCAACTTGACTACAGGAGCAAATGTTTCTTTGTAGTCAAGCCCTTCAACCTGATGATTACCAAGAACCACAAGCCTAGCCTTATATCTCTCCACACTGCCATCAGACTTGCGCTTGATCTTATACACCCATTTGAATCTAAGGGGCTATTTATGATGAGGGGGACGAACAAGAGTCCAAGTGCCATTTGCCTCTAGAGCATCAATTTCTTCTCGCATAGCCTTCCTCCATCGCTCATCTTGGAAAGCCTGCTTGTAACCCTTGGGCTCCACTTCTGCATCAAGAGCTGTGAGAAAACATTTATGTTTCTCAGAAAACTTCTCATATGTCACATATGACGAGAGAGGATATTTGCATTTCTCCCCGACATATGGTCCAACCACATGGGTAACATAATCGGCAAGGCGTACATTTGGATGTTTCTCACGCTGACCACGTCCCAAGTTCTCCACCACCTTCTGGGAAGAGGACGGTTGACCGCCGTCCGTTGAACGGTCCACGGGGTCGACCATCTGAAGCTGTTCCGGATCACTGACTTTCTGCCTCGGAGGCGATCGACCGTCTTCCAGATCACAGTCGACCGTTTGATCATCTCCCAAAGAACCGTCATTCTGCCTCTCGGACGGTCGACCGTGGATGTCAGGACGGTCCACCAGGTCGACCGTTTGTCCATCTCCCTGCAACCCATCTTTCTGCCTCTCGGACGGTCGACCGTGTACAGCAGAACGGTCCATCAGGTCGACCGTCGGTAGTCTGTCTGCTTCACCACCTTCCTCCGGCCGACTGTTCCTCATGGAACGGTCCATCGGCCTTTCCATGGGCGTTTCTTCATCATCTTCAAAGTGATCGATCGAAGGGGAACTACTCGATTCACTCTCATCTTGGATTTCACCTGCGGAAATCAAGTAAGGAAAAATTTTTTCACAAAACACAACATCCTGTGACACACTGATCTTCCCAGTGTCCGGGAAATACACGCGCCAGCCCTTCTTTCCTTGTGGGTATCCCAAAAATATTCCAGGAATACTTCTGGGTGCAAATTTATCTCCATCTCTTTTCAAATTGTGTGCATAACATCTGCAACCGAAAACACGTATATGAGTCCTCGTAGGGACCGTTCCATAAAGCTTCTCATACGGTGTAACCCCCCCTAGCAATGAGGAGGGTGTGCGGTTGATCAAATATGTCGCAGTTTGTATACAATCTCCCCAAAATTCAATAGGTAGCCCTGCCTGAAATCTTAGAGCTCGACCCACATTCAGAATATGACGATGTTTGCATTCCACTCTTCCATTCTGCTGCAGTGTAGACACACAAGATGTCTCACGAATAATTCCTTTTTCTAGAAAATATTCATTCAAGCATTCGAATTCTGTGCCATTGTCACTGCGAACACAGTTTATTTTCTACTCAAACTGACGTTCAACCATGGTACAAAATTGCTTAAAAGCACTTCTACTGTCCGCTTAGAGTCAAGTAAGTATACCCACACACCGCGAGAAAAGTCATCCACAATGGTCAAAAACATGGTAGAACCATCCAAGCTCGGCGTCCGATAAGGACCCCACAAATCACAATGCACCATATCAAATTTATCCAAATATTGATGGAAACTGATGGGAAAACTAGCACGAGTTTGTTTAGCACGTAAACAGACATCACAATGATTATGGCTACTTTTAATTGAACCAATTTCAGGAACTAAGGACAAAACATGCGAAGAATGATGTCCTAGACGCTTGTGCCAAAGATCAAACGAATTCACCTTCTTTGCACTGGACGTCATGCTTTTTTCTTCCTTCTTCAAATAATACAACCCTCCTTCACATCTCCCTACACCAATCGTTGTCCTCGAATTTATGTCCTGTAATATGCACAGATCATTGGTGAACTTTGTCTCACAGTTCAAATCCCTCGTTAACTGTGAGACAGAGATCAGATGGCACTTCAAAGTTGGAACAAACAACACATTCTGCAATGTCATGGTCCTTGTCAAATCAACCTTTCCGGATTGGACAGACACTACCTGTTTTCCATTGGGTAACCCAATTTCACACAGAGTCACGCCCACCACATCATATAATAACGAAAGATCACCTATCATATGGTTTGATGCACCCATATCAATAATCCAACGTGGTGACACAGAAATACCTGTAAGTTTCTTATTGATGTCTGTAGGAGATAGTGCAAGAGCGTGACGAACAGCATTCCACTGCTCCATAGTCAGATCTCCAAAATCGGGCAACGGTGAATATCCCTTTTTCTCTTCTTCCTCATTTTTCTTGCTGAAAATAATCTTCATGGATGCCTCTTTAGACATACCGGATGACAGGGGCTAACAATGGATCGAACTGCTGTAGCAACTGAAGAAGCTGTCGTCGGGACGGTCGATGCCTTCGACCGTTCCTATCCCGACGGTCGACCGTTCCGGTCTTTCCGCAGCAACACCAAGTGACGACCGCTGGACGCGATGCCGGGCGATCGGTGCACAGTAGTCGCGGAAATCCTCTAGGGTTTTGGTTCTGATACCATGAAAGAATTAATTCAGAGAAAATTCTCTCTTCTATTTCTTGTCTTCAATTTACAAAGTAGACATGTATATATAGGCTCTCACAGACTGAGAAACCTAATCACAAAAGAAAACGAAATCAATCCTATACAAGGAAACTACCAAAAATATATACCAAAATATATACGAATATTTTCTTTTCTTTAGCAGTGAAAAGAATATACTCCGTATGACCTTAGACTCATTTGAACTGTCTCGGGGTGAATAGTTTTCTAATAGACCCGACCGGACTACTTCGACCATCCGTCGGTCTCCGTTCCTTCTTTCAAAACTATGGGTTGCTCTAAGTGAAAACAAAAACGTTTCCGTAGTTCTTTATCTTTCAATGGGCCCACTATCTATTGTACTCCCTATTGTACTCTCTCCGTTTGCAAAAAGCTTCCTAGTTTCACTTGGAGCCAAAATAAGGATGTGTTAAATTATAGATTTATAGTTGACTTCCAATTTCGCCATTGATGTGATGGATAAAAGTAAGATGTAATGGATAGATTATTAGAGAAAAAGTATGATGTGATAGGTAGGGTATGAAAAAGTAAGGGTAAAAATGATTTTTTAATAGAAAGTGGAAGTCTTTTGTTGGAAGTAGAAAAAATGAAAGAGGAAGTGTTTTTGAGAACGAAGAGAGTACTTTTTTTACTTCGAGCACTCTCAATGAAGAGTGAAAAAAAATTAGATTAAGCTATTTGAACCCTAAAATTTGTATTCTAAATTGTACAAGAGTGCGTCAACCTTCATTTTGTGTTCGTGTGATCTTGGAATAATAGTTCGCACTAGCACAAAATTAAAATAAAATTTTTCTTATTGCACTAACATTTTGTGTCAGGCAATCAAATATTAATGTATCTTTTGGGCGTAACTTTGGGGTACACTCTTTTGTGTGATTGTAGCATGATTTCCTCAATAATCTTTCTGACTTTCTCTATACTTTCTCTTATCCACATCAATATTTTTGTGTGTAAAATTTGATGGTAAGTTTTAGGAAAAATCTTAAGTGTACACTAACTGGGTTGGGTACATCTAGCACACCTCTAAGTTTTATCCCATGAATGGGAGAACCAAAAAAAATCCCACCAATCTATTCCAATGGAGGCCCCCTTTTATTATTGCTCTTCTCTCTTTTTCAATTAGGCGTCCACCTATGAATGACGACAAAAAACACTCACATAGTACTAATAAAATCTAAAAACCTAGGAGAAATTCCCCAAACGTGTTACAAAGTACTCCCTCCGTCCACCTAAGATCTTCCCATTACGCGTTATGAGGCTTGACCGACTTTATTTTCAATTTAATTTAATTGATTATAGAAGTAAAATTTTAAAATAAAATTCATATAGTAATAAACTACATGAAATGTTCTACAAAACTAGAGGTGACAAGACTATATTATTTTACGAAATGAGTAGTAAAAATGAGCAAACAAAGTGAGTAAAGTTTGACCCTGTGAATAGTGTCTGGAAAGATCTATGGTGGACAGAGAGAGTACTTTTCTCCGTCTTAAAAACATGTTTTCATTTTGACTTTTAAAAAATTTAATGAAAAGATATCTTTATAGGGAGAAAGACCAAAGTAGAACTAAAATATTAAAAATATACCAAAATAGGACTTCCATGTTTTAATTCCCGAAATAGGACTTACATTACCAAACATGGTCATATACATTACCAAAAAAATATAGTAATCTGCACATGTACACTCACACATTACCACAATGCAAAGTCACATTACCACAATGCAAAATCTTATTCTGGGAAAAAAACATGAAAGTCCTATTTTGATACTTTTCTCTATGTTTTAGTCCTATTTATAATGATTTCTAATTTTTATATTGATTTTCCAAAAATATCCTTGATGTGATGAGTAAAAGTAAGATGTGATGTGTAGATTATTAGTAAAAAGGTATGATGTGAGAAGTATGTTAAGAACTAGCAACGGAAAAAGTGATTTTTTATAGAAATAAGAAAGATTTTGTGGAACAATTTAAAAAGAAAGGGAAGGAGTTTTTAGGAGGGAGAGTATTTTTTTATTCAAATTGCAGCCATGCATTTTTAAATTGTATACTGTATACTAAATTTTGTCTGGGTTGCTTTGTTCGGTTCTTTTTTTCTCTTCTGTTCTTTCTTTCTTTCCTTAGTATCTTTCTAGTTTTCAATTTTACATTTTTACCTTTTTTTTGTTTTTGATTTCAGATTTTTTTGTTAATGAAATATCTATTTTATGAATAGTTTTTTCTAATGAATTTTAAATTTTTGTATATGAACTTTTAAAATTAATATTCATGATATATTTATTTTATGGATTTATTTTAAGTAATTTTAATTAAAATAGATGTAAAAAAGAATATAAAAGAAATGAAAAAATATTTACTTGTACTAAAAATATGGACTATTTAGAGAATTACTCAAAAAAGAACATTATTTTATAGAATGTGGGTTTAAGTCAGGTAGGCATGGCGCCGGTGGAAGATAAATTGCGGGAAGCGAGGTTGAGATGGTTTGGTCATGTGAGACGGCGGGATGCTGACGCCCCTGTACGGAGATGTGAGCGGATTACGGTTATCGGGGGAAGTAGGGGTAGGGGTAGACCTAAGAAGAATTGGAAGGAGGTGATTAGACATGATTTAGGACTTCTCACCCTGACTGAGGATATGGCTTTAGATAGGAACCTTTGGAGAACTAGGATTAGAGTAGCTGGTTAGGAACTCGGTGCTACAGAGGTTTTTTGTAGTGTGTTGTGTTTGATTGGAATCTTCTATTAATGTTTGTAGAACTTTCTTTTCATTGTACTTGGTGTTTTACCCATGTTATACTGTGTACCCTATCATATTTTTTGTGCAGGTTGAGCCGGGGGTCTCTTGGAAACAGACTCCCTGCTTCCGAGTAGGGGCAAGGTCTGCGTACACACACCCTCCCCAGACCCTACTGTAGTGGGATCCAACTGGGTTGTTGTTGTTGTTCTCTTCACCTGATTTGATTAGTTCAAATTTAATAGAAATGAGTTCGGATTTGATTTGGTCCGATCTAATTATAGTAATATTTAAAATTATTTCTGATCTGATATTCTGATTTTAATAAGATTTAATACTCCGTAATAAGTAAGAATAGGTTGAAGAAACATGCTCCTAGTAGTGGGAGAGATTTGAGAAACAAAAATATCCTAATTGGTGAATACAAGAGAGAAAAATTTACAAACAAAAATATTGATGTGGATGAAAGGGAAAATGTACAAAGAGATTTATGAGGTATTTTTTCACGCCATTTTAAGTTTCCTGAGAACTACCATAATTTAGTTATATACTTCTTCCGTTCCAAAAAGATCTACTCATTTCATTTTTTGCGCATCTCATAAAATACTTTTATCTCATCTTAAATGCAAAAAAATTTAAAACAATTTCTACCCAGGCCACAATAAAGGGTAAATGTGGTAAATCTTAGACATTTTAGATGTGATAGAAGTGTTTTTTTGAGATACACAAAAAATAAAACGGATAGATCTTTTTGAGACGAGAGAATATATAACATCATCGGGAAGTGTTTTACTCGTATTAAAAACTAGCAACATTTTGTGCTGACCTCTCAAATTGTCTCACTTTTTACTATTTTCGTCTTAGGATAATCGTCCTTAGATAATGAGATTTGAGTGAATTTATTATTTTTCAGTTCAATATAATTTACGTAAACAATGGTACAAATTTTAAAAATTAAATTTATATTTTGAAAAGCCACTTAAAAATATTTATAAAATAAGAGATGACATGACTGTGTCATTTTAGTATTTTAGTTAATGATTAAATGCAATTCTTTTACTTACTACAGGTAGGTTTTATTTTATTTATGCATATATATATATATATATATATATATATATATAGAGAGAGAGAGAGAGATTTTAGATCAAATGAGAATGATGCATAGTGAAATTGATAATAATTCATATGATCTATTAGATTTAAGATTTAAGTGCTACTAAAAATCAAAAATTCTGAAAAATATTTTTAAAAAATCGTGGTGGCAATTTTAATTTATAAATGATTTGAACTTTCCGAAAATGCACTATTAGAAGAGAAACCTAATAAAATTTGATGAAACTTTGGCATTAAAAATAGTATAGCAGATGACGATTATTTAATAGTATAAATCACTATTAATGCAATTATATAAAAAATTACCATTTGTTATTACACAAATTGTTCTTTATGTTTTGATAAATATAAAAACTTTAATTGAAATAAGTTTCTAAGTCAATGTTAGAAAAAACTAAAACGATTAGGAAAAGAAAGCAAATTCTATGGTGGACCTTAATTAGATACACCATGGAGCTACATATAAGCAAAATAAGCATTTATTTACTATCTAAGGCTACTTTCCGTTCGCCTGATTTGATTTTTTGAAGATATGGTCTAATCTGATCCGATCTCGTCTACTAATATGATCTGATTGCAGTTATTTAAACAATATTCCTTCGTCTTAAATATATTTTTCACTTTCACTTTTCATTCATTAAAAAAATAAACATTTTCAATTAAAATCTCTTTTTTATAGGTACTACTTATTAATCTACCTATCACATAATATCTATTCACTATTTATCTACTCATCACATTTTATCACTCCCTACAACAAAAATTGGAAAAGAATATGAAAATTACACATTCCTTAAATCCTACTCCTCTGTCCAAAATTCATTTACACTCTTCAAACAACATGTAAAATCTTATCTTTCTAAAAATGATTTTATATAATAAACTTGTATAAAAATAAAGGGTACAAATTATTTACTTAAAGACTACATAAAAAAATCTACAAAATGAGATGTGACAAATATATTTTATTTTATTAAATGATATACCAATGAAAACATAGGAGTAAACAAAAGTTATCGATCCAGAGACTCAAATTAAATAGTAACAGTATAAATCATTTTGAAATAAGGAGTACCTTTTTCCAAAAGTGGAGAAATTTTTTTAGACGGAGGTAGTAATAATTATTATAATAAATGAGATAAG